TTCCAATCAAAATATTGTAACTAAGCAATGACAAGAAAATCACCCTACCACAAGTAACCCCCATTATGAGGAAATAGATACTACCACAAAGTGTGTAACACATCTCAGGTTGGGCATAAACAATAGTAATTACTGGGTATTGAAAAAATTAAGATGTTATGGATTAGCGAGTTTACAACCCAACGTAAAGAACTGTAAGGATTCCGAGCTTATCATCTATCCATACTTAAGGACAAATTTTCATAGTCAGTCATAGTCTGAAGATTTTGGAGCAGTACATTTCCCCACCAAGAAATTCCCCACCAAGAAACATTGTTGCAGTCCTCTTGGGCTAGCTATTACTACAGACATTGCCAACAAGCAAGGTTTTTTGCCAAACGAAAAGGTATTATTTGCAAACTTCAGTAAATTCAATTAATTCTTTCATTTGTTCTTTCTTTCAGTTTCTGACCTAGGTCAGATGTAGGCGGATTGCCACTACAATCATCCTACTCTCTGAATATACTCACTTAAATGATTTTTTTTTCTTGAACATCAAAAATTTTGCAGCAATTAATTGCTGTCAGAAGTTACTTGAAGTCTATATCTTGTCATCATTGACAAAAGTTCCTTTGGGTCCATCCATGAGATGATGATCCCTTTGCAATTTGCCTGCAGAAAATTAAGGCTTTCATTTCCATAACATTTTTTTAAGGAAAGGCTAACCCTAATAAAAAAGGCTATTACTTTACCTGGGTACTTGACAAAAAGCAAGCTTATCACATGTTGGTATTTACAATCTCATGTTCCTTTATTCCTCTTTGTGTAAGAAAGAATTTTAAAGTCCAATTTGCTTAAGAATCTTCTGCTTTTACTTCGTAGGTGAGTACCTCTTTATTGACTTCCTTATTATCTTACATGGAAAAGCATCATTATTGCAACTAAGGAATGACATCTTAGGACATTGGCATCTGCACTCCCCAAAAGAACTCATTTTTATCTGCTCTAAGTATATCTAATATCTGCTTCTCATCTTCCAGATATGGGTATTAGTTTTATAGACTAAGATCACATTTCTCAAACTTTTTTATGATCACCTTCTAAAAAATAATCAATATGGCAATATGATTTCAAAACAACAAATCATTTTCTCATCTTCTGGGATGATGAGATGATTATCTTCTCTTATCTAGGAAAAGTGTACAATATGCCTTTTAATAACTGAATAATATGGCAATGGTTAATGTCATTTTATCTGCTCTATTTCAAATACAGCACATAGATTTCCCAGATGATTTATAGGACAGAAGTTTACATATTCTCTTGCATTTAAAGTGTGAAAATATAGAACATAGACAAATGCTATGACATACACTGCAGAAATTCTGAGCAAGTTTAAGTGGTAATAACTACCACCAAACAGACTCACTCATACTAAAGAACTCTAAGTAGAAACTTTGTGCAGTTTTAATTAAATTCTTAGAAGTCAAACACACCTCTAGTATGTAACATACAAAATCCCACATATCTTTACAGATGAATATCAAAAACTGTGACATCCTCTGGCATTAGTATCTTATTTATCCAAATTAATAAGTTAGGTTTGAAGAGGAAAAAACCCCACTACATTCTTCCTATCTTGAGATGGCACAGCATTCTCACAAACATAAGACTCATATATTTCAGCAAAAATACATCGAAATCATAACACCTTAATATAGACTTTTTTCCCCAATAAAGTTTCATACTGTCATTTTCTTATTTTTCAGGTAACTTTTTCAAAACCTTTTAAAATCATGCATGCTTTTAAAATCAAAACACACTAGTGTTTTACTTTCCTAAAGGTAAAGTCAATGGAACTTGCTTATTTCTGTTTACTGAGATGGGCCGCCTCACACAATAATAGAAGAGCTGGGAGAGGGGTGGGAGAAGGAGCTGTCTAGACTGATTTCTTCCCATGGAACAATGTTGAGTGTTAAAAACCTGTGCAAGCATTTGTGAAATAGATTTGATGAAATTTAGCATTCAAGAGGGAAAAATTGTAATTAAATCAGCATTAAACTTTAACTCTCCAGATGTTGTGCAGAACCTTCACAAGCCATTGTGGATATAACAGTCTAAGTCCTTGAAACTAGAATCTCTAGAAAGAAAAAGAAAAGAAATTTAATTTGTTTCAGTGAATACAGAAATACATTCTGACGTTTCCGTGTGCAAAATTTTAAGGTTTGGATTCTGGAAGCACTTTGAGCAGGCTTCCCATAACAGTCAGCCCAGATCATTTGATGGATTAGATTTTATTGTACAGAAGTGCAATAACGCTCTTTGATGTGAAAGACAAGCTTTGGACTCCTATCACTTAAGAAAATCAGACAGAAAATGTCTTTCCCACCAGGTTTGCAAGACAAACTGCAAGGCACATCCTTTTCACTTTACTGGAACATGGAGTTTCACACAACAGAGAGAAAGATAGAAGAATAAAAAAGTTACTGTCCAATTTACTTCTGATATCACATTCTCAATGAAAGAATAAAAAGGTGACTGTCTGCTTCATCTCCCATCACAGTCTGTCTGCTGCAATTGCACGAAAACCCTGGAGATGAGGAAGTGGTGATTCCAGCACTGCTATCTCATTATACTTCATGTACTGCAGAGTCACACATTAACTGTGGAAGAAGCCTCTCCAGTTTGTAGTACTCGTTTCTACAATATCTTTTCCCTGGTAACTTGTCATCAAGCAATTGAAAAATGAAATTTCCCCTCCTGGAAGACTATTTCTAGTAGTGTTCTGCTTTAAATACAATAGGAACTTACACCTAGATCATGTTTCATCAATTCCCCATAAAAAGTCTTAATTCTGTAATTCTGCTGATGATTATACCCAAATATCTGCACTAACATTCTTGCTTTTATTTTCAGGAAATATCTTAAATTGATTTTTCTTTCTTTCTGATCTCAATGAATTTTCCAAATCTTTCTAGAGAAAGATTAACTGGGAGGGAAATTATGTCATCATTCACAAATATTTCAGGCATTTATACTATTCCATCTTTTTCTTGATACAGACTCTAAGTTCTAGACATAAGATTTATCAAGAACTTTAGTACTGTGGACATTAGAGGACTCAGCCAGATATAGGCAAATCAAATGTAAATCACTTATACAAAGCAGACAGTTACAGATTCAGATCTCTGCTCTATCTCAGGAGAGCCTTATGAAACAGGCTATTTTATTCATCACTGTATCACTACACTACACAAACCTAATAAATTCTTTCCACTTAAGCTTTTGAAATATAACACTGACTGCCAGTGTTTCAGTTTTTATTGCATGTTTTTTTTTAATGAAAACAAGCCCAAACCATTTAGCATAAACCAGTAACTAAGTAGTGTTCAAGACCAGGGTGCATGGGGCATCGAGCAGCCTGGTCGAGTGGAAGGTGTCCCTGCCCATGGAAGGTGTGTTGGAGCTAGATGGTCTTTAATGTCCCTTCCAACCAAAACCATTTTGTGATTCTAGGATTCTCCAAGTCTGAAACAACCCTAGTCCTTCCCACTTAGACCAAAAAAAGTATAACAAAGAGCTGGATGAGGAAAAAAGTTATGATAGCATTGGTTATGTATCTTGAGCTCTCAAAACAATCAAGCAGAAGAAAAATTGAGTTCATTTCCATGGATTTAATTGAGAAAGAATTAGCTTAAACCACCTAAAGATTTTAAGCAAACAAAGTATTTATACCTAACTCACTTATTTAATTTTTAGTCCTTACTTAAACTTATTGTATCCTAGGAATGTGCAAAAGCAGGTCATGCCATGTAAGGCCAGCCAGGACAAAAATAACGAATCGAAACAAAACAACAAAACACCAAGCAAAAATCCCCTGCAAAACAAAACAAAAAAAACCCAAGCAAAACCAAACAAGATGTGAGTTGAATTCCTAATCTATTTTGTAGAAGATTAGTCTTCATTTGGTATTTAGCCAGAAGTTTACTAATTAGAATGGAATCCTATCACCCTGAAAAGGGAGTGATGCAAATACAAAAAGAACCTTAATTGTTAGTATTGGTGTGGTGACTACATGGATTGCACCCTCTTTTCTTTATAAGTATCACAAGTAGGAAGTGTTATGGTATAAAAGAAAATGCAACTGTTCCAAATAATGCTTCTTTCAAAAGTTTAAGAGCTACACTGTACTCAGACTAAGGAGGAGTAGACACAGTTCTATCAGAGGAACGAAGACTCCATGTACTTGCTATCAAGGTCTGGCAATAGCTACAAAATCACTGTCTTGCTCAGCTGTGTTTTTTTACTAAGGGCACCAGAACCAGCTCACTGACCCAAAGGAAACTTGTCTCATATTGTTAGGACCTATTATTAGAACTTAGCAGAGCCTTTGATAGCAATCAAATGCCAAAGGTAATGATTTAGTTAACAAATTAGACTTGGAAGTACATTATCATCTCAAAAGCAGAAATTATTTCCTGCAAGTCGTGAATTGAGACCTTTTTTCCTCCTCAACTGGTAATATTTTTTTAATGCATGCTGCCATAAATCTACCAAAAAAGCATGATGCAACAAGCATGCAGCTACCAAATATGAAACTAAGCTGAGACTGAAACTGTCAGGGGAGTAGCTCCATATTGTGGAAGCTCCATTCCACTGATTGTTAAAAAGAAAGCTGGGCTTGCTCCTCCTCAGGATTACAAGTACTTGAAAACTTATAGAATGCATTTATGTTTCTTGTAAAAATGTTCACATATATAGAGTAAAAACTGTTTTGAAAACTAGAAGAAGAAAGACTGGATAATTAAGAGCTTTTATGTAGGAAAGATGAAAATATTTACATATAAACCTTGCGTAAAACAGTGGCCAGTCAAGATTTTCTGTAGCATTATTTCTATTACTGTTTTAAGAATTTTTGACTACAGCATCCTGGTGCAAGTAATTGCTGTTTACTATATACTTTTGATACAATTCAATAAAACAAAAGAAAAGGAATATCATCAAAAGATTATGGTCCTGAATCTTCTTGTAACTTTTCTTGCATAAATGTAATTCCATGGAATTCAGTCAATATTTCAATAAGAAATATCAGAGTTTATGCTTTTATTTTTATTTCCATCCCCAGTGTTTGGAACTTAAATATTGTGGAACCACCTACCCTTCCAGAGACCGATGAGGAGATTGAGGATGGGAATGTTCAGGTGATGATGTTCTTAATGTAGAGCTTAAATGATACAAATTTGTACAATTCTGGCATTGAAGCTTCTGAAGTTCCCTAACAACACAGTATTTTACTATGACAAAGCACTTTTCAAAAAACATTAAAATGTCACTATAAGCTTTTTTTTTCTATTTAAGATTGTCAGCTTTTAAATTTTATTTTATATTAAAAGGAAATGTGGTTTTCATCATATACTTCTCTGAAAGACAGATTAGTGACTCTATTACTCTCTTACTCAGACTTAATTCGACATATCCATTGTCTTAATTTTCTTTGAAAGACAGAAGTTAGCCATGGTTGCTGCACATTAAACTCTAAAATCTGCACAAATTTCCAGGGATGAAGAGCTTAGATTTAAGGTTATTCAAAAGTAAGAACAGTGCTGTTTGTGGTATTCTTGTGTTATTTGAGTTGGCAAGGCCAGTGGACTAGAGTCTGAAGTGCCTGAAACAGATGGATATTTAAGAGATGCTGGACTCCCCAGTAGGAAAGTTGCAAAATGGTAGTCTAGTCATTTTGACTGCTGGGCATGGGGCCTGGATAGTGGATCAATCCATAACTCCTGTATCTGGGTGTATGGGAAGGAAGTATGTGGGATTGGATAATGCACTGGAAAGTTTTGGAGGTACATGCTCATGTGAGATCCTCATTTCAGGCTGTCAGTTGTTTACATAAGGAGAATCTAGTCTGTGTTGGATTGGGAAACTAATAGATAGGGTGGCTACAACAACTCCTGAGTTCCAGTGTGGCTTAGCCATTTCCACACAGCTACCCGTCGAGTGGACCACTGAAGCAGGTCACCAAAACCTGCAGGGGAACGATCAGATCCAGCACCAGCTCATGGAGCTGAATCTCCAGGCAATAAAAGGGCTTGCTCTAGCAAGTGGAGCCCAGTGAGCCATTAGGAATCTCCCAGCCAGCTACCACCATCCCACAACCTGGTGAGGTATCACATACACTGTAAAGTCTATGGAACCAGATTTATCTGCATTGACTGTGAGCCTTACTAGCATTGTTGCTTTTAAGGGCTTTGCTATGTTCATGTTGCACTATCTGTAATGGTAAAGAAGGTGCTGAAAATTGTAGGAAGTCAGAGTACAGCTGCTTGCACTTCTCCCAGGTAACACTGGGAATGAATGTAGAAGCCAAACGGACCAATGGGGAAAGGGAGGTACAAAGGCAGCAAAAATGATGGTCAAGAAACAGAAAGGGATAAAAAGTTCCACAGGTCGTACACCTGAGGCTGTCCAGGGGTACCTGACCTGACAGTCAGTCTCTGTGCTTGGTCACCACAGCAAGGACAAAACAATAAATCAAACCTGTTGTTTCCACAGGAGTCCAAACTGCTTCTGCAGTCAGTAAGATGGGAGGGATGAGAAGGTGCTTTTCCTGACTGGTGAAGAAAAAGCTAGGCAGATGGATCAAGCCTCCTGGTATCACTGTGTTGGTGCTCATTGGTTGCTAACAGTCTTGACACTTCCACCTCTTAACTTCAGGCATTATTTCATTCTGCATCAAGGCAGTAAATCAATACAAGGGGAAGCCGTATGAGGAGCAGCTGCGGTGACTTGGTCTGTTCAGCCTGGAGAAGAGGAAACTGACTGAGGGGAGACCTCATTGCAGTCTACAACTTTCTCATGAGAGGGAGAGGCAGACACTGATCCCTCCTCTGTGGTGACCAGTGACAGGACCCGAGGGAATGGCCTGAAGTTGTGGCAGAGGAGGTTTAGGTTGGATATTAGGAAAAGGTTCTTCAGCCAGAGGGGGGTTGGGCACTGGAACAGGCTCCCCAGGGAAGTAGTCGCAGCACCAAGCCTGACAGAGTTCGAGAAGTGTTTGGATGATATGCTTGGGCACATGGTGTGACTCTTGGGGATGGTCCTGTGCAGGACTAAGGGTTGAAGTCGATGATCCTTGCGAATCCCTTCCAACTTGGCATAGACTGTGATTCTGTGACTAGCTAAGTCAATGTTATAATAAGGATGTCATATACCCACTTCTTTAAACTAACAACAAAACCCCAGTCAGTACTCGCCTCTGTTGCTTCCCTTATATACTATCATGATACCGACTTTAATAATATTTTTCCTATATGGCCAATTTTCTGGTTTTCATTTGCCAGTACCAGAAAAATAGAAGCCAGCTTGGATTTTTAATTCCCTTCCCTGTAAGCAAGAGACAGAGATACCTTCTCTTGCATGACCTTCTGAGAGAAAACAGAAAAGAAATAGAATTCTTGTAATCTTTGCAAGGGCATTGAAGGTCCACTGTTATGATTTTTTTAAAAGGCCAAAGAAGGAAAAAGCTGTGGTCTTTTAAAGAGGGCTAAATCTAATGTCAGCCCCAGATTTTTATATGAGAACATTTCAGTCTTTGCTGTGTAAGACTTCTGCTCACTGCTTTTGCAACTGACTTACAGACAGCTTAATGGAACGTAGATTTGTTTTTTCCAAGGCAATTCAGGTAATTATGTTTGTAATTCTCCAGAAGTAGAAGATAAATTCTCTTCAAGAATGAAAAATGGTGATCTTTGTTTCAGCATAGGCTCAGTCTAATATTTGTTTTTCTAACTAATTGTAAACTAAGTGATTATATTGCAACTGTAAGCAACCATGTGAGTAACGAATTATCCTTGACTAGGAGTAGAGATTAAGTGTGGAGCCTATTGCAACTTTCTGCCAAGTGAACACTTCAAGAAGAAACACTTGCAGTCCCTATCAGGGAATACCCATACACCATGAAATGGATGCATTCACACAGGGGAGGTAGGGAGGTTCTTTTAAAACAAAGGTTCTCCTCTATTAGCATACAGTCTGGCTCATTCTATGCAGCTGGGGAAGCACAAATTATGCCACCTTTTAAACTGACTTCCACATCTAACGCAAAAATTTTGTAGTTTTTGCCCTTGATTCAGGGTAAATGAGAATCCAATTTGAAACTGAATCTGAGAAATTTAAGAAATTCATCTTTAAAAGACCTAACTTCAGGTATAGAGATGCCCCCTCTGAAACCCTTGTCCTTACTTATGAGAGAACAGAATATCAACAAGGTAATTTACTACAGTTGAGACACCTGATTCTCAAACCCGTGCTATAAGCACATCACTCTGCTTCTTTTAACCCTCTGTTTACATACCCCAAAATAAAACCCGACATTGTTCTGTGTTTAACAGATAAGAAACCTATTTAAGACACAAAGACTATGTAGATAAACTAAGTCGTGAAGCAGGACAGGGACCATTCTCTGGTGCTGTGGCCAAATCATATGAAACAGTTTCTACATGTTGTTAGACTATCTTCTTAAAAAATTTAATATAAAATATTTGGCCACATTGCCATTTGGGAACCACCCCTAGCACCTCAAGGAGTACCTGGGAGAATGGGGGTTGGTACAGGCTAAAATCATTCCAGAGGTTATAGAGAACTAGCAGTCTATAAAGCTCTTGTATAAACGACTAGTCACCTTGACTTTCACTATAGGTCTAGACAGGCATCAGTATGAGTGAAGACAGATGAGCATCTTCAAGAAAATCACCCATCCCATCCTAATTCAGGCTATTCCAGAGGGTAGTTGATCTCACTGTCTCATTCTGTTGGCTATACAGGGAACCTATACAACTAATTTAGACAGCATGTATAACAGCTAAACAGACTAAATTTAGTGACATGAATAGTCTCCAAGCACAAAGGAGACATACAGAAAAGCAAACACAAACTTTGCCATTTATCTGACTAATTAGTCTGTCTTAGTACTATATTGCATTTCACCCCAATTAGCTGCAGGAATCACAATACAAAAACATATACTTGCCTTTCAAAGCATTCAGTCTCCAGCAGTCTTTTGGTGATATCCAGTTCTGCCTCAAGCTCAGCTGCTCTATTTCTGAGGTGAGTAAAATCTCGACTCTGCACAGCACTGTGAAGTCCATACACTTTAATTAGATAGCAACTGTAATCCTCCAAGCCAAATACAATTATCCAAAATTAAAAGGGCAGCTATATCGTGCAATTGAGATTAAGAACATTTTTTTGAGCAAAATATAATGCTATGCAGGAAAGTCTATTAGAGTATAGCTGAGGAATCAAAAGCAGGTTTTTGGTATCTTCTGCTATTAAGGTAGCCAGGTACATTGGCCATTTGAAAATGCAGGTAGATATAAAACCATCTCTTTTTATATACCCTTATAAAGAATGAGAACATCTGCAATACTCTCCTAGTCATTTACTCACAGATGATTTTTCTTTAAAGCAAGCTGTTCCTTGAGAAACTGAATTTCAGAGTCTTTCTCTTGCTTTGCTGTCTGTGACTGAAATTCTTTCTCACAATTGGACACAAGCAAAGATTCCAGGTTTTTCATAGATGCTCTTTCATTTCCCACTTGTTTTCTCAGCAGCTCTGTTTCAGAATGGGATGACTCACACTTACTCTGCAGCTAAACAAAGATTTTAAGTTTCAGATGTGTATCTATTAAGCTTAATGGCATTTTATCAGGGTAACCTTTACAAAAAATAAGAAGATAAATATAAAAAAGGAAGTCTGGGATCAATGACAAAATTTGCTTTCACTCCCAGATGGATGATTACTGCTATATTTTCCTAGTTAAAATCCTGTCGGATTTATAAATTCATTCAATGTATATATCTGAATATAAATGTACTTGATAGAAATGACAAAATGCTATGAAATTTATGTATCAATGGATTCTGTAGACAGAATCATTAAAGAACAGGAAGTAAGTTTCACATTTTGTTGAGGCAAGAAACTATTGATTAACTATTTGCATGCAGGAAATAACACCTGATAAAACAAACCACTATCAGCATCATCAGCAGAGTGAGAAGGCACTTAATTTGCTTAAAGAAGCATCAAGAGTAAACTGAGGGGGGAAGGAAAATGAATAAAATACAAAACAAGATATTAAGTATCTACATATCTTGGGGAAATCTATAAAAGAAGAATACCCATAAAATCGAGTATATTTCCCTGCCAAGGGAAAGATGGACATAGCCGAGACATAGCTACATACAAAAAAATAGCATAAGTAAGCTAGTTGCTATTTTCCCTTCGTCTTTGCATGTATGCATTTTAGTCTGTCTAACTGAGTCTGCTTGGGGTGCTGCAAACACTTTTATCTGTATTTTACGCAAGCCTAGTTTACATTACACACAATAATGCTCAGCCAAAGGTCATGGGAAATCTGTGAACTGCCACATCTTAACAAACACCCACCTCTCCAGCACATTCCTCAGAATTTTCAGAGGATAATAATTTTTGTGTTCAAAGAAGGAAGATACTGGTGGAACTCAGATCATAGGCCAACAGGGAGGGGGGAAAGAAAAAAAAAAAGAAAAAAACATTTTTCACTTACCGAAGCAAAGCTCAATTTTTTTCTCTTACCAAACTAAACTGAAAGGTTTCTTCATTCTGAAAGATCCCATTTTCTATGAACTGTCACTCAAAAATCTAGTTCCTTTGCGGAGAAACAGTTTTGATATTCTACATTTGTATTTCAGAACAAAAGAACACTGAAAACTTCAGGTTTAGTTTCCGCTTCTGAATATACATATGCTGCAATCTAGTAATGCAGATTCTGCACTGGAATACTATGTAAAATAAGAGCCCTATCTGAAGGTTATACATGGCTGATGAAAGATTACTGGTTGAAAGATATGGAAAAATTCATGAAAATTCCCCAACTGCAGACTTTTCTCCAGCTCTCCAACTGCATTTCTGCATTTTTCTTTCCCAAAACTATTGCTGTTCTCCACAGTCCCAGCAATCCCCTCCACAGACAATCTCACAAAAGGATCCAGGGAGGCTTAATCATATTAGATCTCATAAAAGTTTCAGATAAATGTCATATGCTGGAACTCTTCCCTATCAAAACAATCACAGAGGATTCCACAAGCATACAAAAGACATCACACACATGTGGCTAGAACACATAACCAACTGTCTAACAGCAGCTTTACCCATGATGGATGCAAAAGGCATAAAGGTTTAAAGAGAATGCTGGAAGCCTGTAAAGAACAAGAAATTATCTCAGCTGGAGCAGAGGATGGACAGGTCAGTGACAGAATCGTACTGAAAATATCTAAATAATCTAGGTATGTATGAACAATTTTTCAAAGTTTATCCAAGCTTAGGTTTTAAAAATTTATCTATCAAATATTAATTTTGTAGTTTTTGTAAAAATCAAGGTCAACAAAAATTTCAAGGGAAATTAAGAAAATATTAAAGATATTAATACTTCATAAAACAGTCAGTCATTTTAAAGTCCATGTCAAGTTTCATTGCTAATAAACAACTCCATCTATTCTGCTCACTTATTGACTAGATGTAAAATGCAAGATATCTTTCATGAAAACAACAAGTAATTTTAAGCCCTGACTTTTGAGTATTCATAGTCAAGCCTTGCAAAGCAGTGTCCTTTTCAAAGAATATACAGCACATAAACTTTGAGGACTAAGCCCCTGCGAAATGCCAAATTAAACATTAAAAAATTGAAAAATCGATCATCCATGATCCCAAAGTATATGTAGATCCCTTAAGTATAACATAAGTTAACATAAACTTGTTTTTCTAATATATTTCACATACCCTTTCTACTTTTTCTGCTGTGGAAGTTAAATGCTAATTTAATCGTTGACTCCATCTAATTTAATGTAAAGTTTTTGTATAGATGTGAGATTTGCAAGTATAGGGACTCTCCCAATGTATATTTTGAAGCTCTCTATCCATTTTCAGAAGAGACTTGCTTAACACAGAAATATGAGACTTGTATGCTGCTTCTGTTGGCAAATGCTACAGTAAAGCAATATCAGATAATCAAAATGCTACTGCAAAAAAATTTACAAAAATCCTACAAAATATCTCTGTGTGAATTTCAAGAGCAGTAATTTATTCTAGAATAAACCATAAAGTTATTTCTTTAAATAACTCCTGTATGTAAAAACTAGAAGAGTTCTTGCTACTGACAGCAAAATTAGCTACTGACATTTTAAACTCTACTCCTAGAATTCTACTCCTTCTACAGAGCTAATAAGGTTGAAAATTCTGCCATGGGTCGCATTTCATTTTCAAATGAGATCCTCTTATTTTAGCAATAAAATGTGGTTTTGAATGTAGATGATCTGTAAATGCTGAGATTCTGTCAGTCATATTTATACTGCTGTCACCTGTAAACTGAGGCATGACTATGAGATGACAGTCACATTAAAGAGGAGTCCACAAGTTAGCAGCAGCAGTTCTGACTAAAAGCATTAAGAATTTCATGAGCTTAAAATTAACTCAACCTAGGATTTTCCTCTTTGAAAAATGCCTGTACTTTGCCCAGTGATACTTGCATTCCTGGTCAGTCACTTTTAACTTCTTAATTTTCAGTGGGTGGCAGAACGGATCTGGGAGATTAGTAGAGCAAAGTGAAAGGTAAAGCACTGTGATTTTCTTGAAGACTTTATTAAAAATTACATCCCAAGAGATGATTGTATGAGGAACATATCACATTAACTCTAGCTCTGTCTTACCTAAGAAAAGCACAAGGAACACAGAGAACTGCTGAACACATTTAAGATTTTTGAACAAAAACCTCTGTGTTTTGTATGTGTGCCTTGCAAGTAACTGCTATGAAACTGAATATGACATCTGGAATTCTGATCCAATATGTTGACACAGTTTTCATGAAGAGGCCTGTTTACTCCTGTATTTAATAGCAGGTGTATGGGGTGGAATTAGAAGGATAAAATATCTTCTGGTTTGAGGCTTTCTGGACAAACTAGGACCATGTGCCATTTTTATTATTTTTTAAAAGAAAAGTCAAAATCTGCCACACAATCTTCCTGTGGCGTTGCTGTTCTGTTATTGTTACATTCTCATCCGCTTTCTGACAGCAACAGTTGGGTTCTCTTGAGTATCTAATGTGCTTAAGTAGCCCTCGGTAGCTTATATGATATTCATGAAGGACAGGTGATCTGCAACTAAAACTGGGAAAACCCCAAACCACGTGTATATGTTTGCAGAATATTTCCAAAGCCGTGCTGTGAATTTCTGTAAGTTCTTCAGTTCTTCTTTTCAAGTGGGAAGAGGCTCTTTGGGACACCTAAAAGAAGGTTGAAAAGCTGGAAGCAAGAAGAGCAGGGACAGGAACATAATAGGTGACAAAGCACTAGATACGTTTCAGGTATGCTGTGGAATTGTATGTGACTTTATGCCTTCGGTGATTCCAAATATAAGAGCATTTTACTTTTTGTTTTCCTTGAAATTTGCTATTATTTTCCAAGATCTCTTTTCCCAAGTGTGACTAGTGAAGATCTAATCATATTATTATATAAAGTTAAAACCCATACAGTTCATGGCAGCAAATCTCTCTAAAACATAAGAATTTGCATTAAACAGAACTTAAAAATACTACCAGACCATTTCAAGGCTGAACTATGGAAAGAAAGGTTTCAACTCACTTGCTCCATCTGTGTTCCAAGGGACTCTATTTTCTCTTTCAACCTGATCAGTGCCAGTCTAACAGAGGAAAAGCCTGCTTCTGCTTGACGGCATTTTGCTTCCCAACTTTCTCTTTGTTCACAGGCCTTGTGGTAATTCTCCAAGAGCTCACAGTTCTTTCTCTCCTAACACATAAAGCTTGTTTATTTAATAATTTACAGTGGGCTCCACAAAATAGGGATAGCTATAGATCTACAGGTATGGTATTGGATATTCTATTTCCACTGAAAATTTAGCCTCTTAGCCAAAACATTGAGACACTTTTTAAGAACCAGAGTTTTGTTCAAGAAGACTACATTTTATGAACAAAAGACATCTGTTAAAAGTGTCTAGGTTAATGTTAGAAATACAAGGTATAGCAATGTAGCACAATAATATTTTTTTTACTTTAATCCCAGAGTTCAAAGCCTCTGTATTACTCACTGTCTAAATTTATAAGTTTAATAAACACACAGACACATGAGTGTATATATATAGAAGCACAATGAAATATATTGCATTGATTGTGTACTGCAAAAATAGCCACGAAAATGTGTCCAAGCTAATAAAACCAAATTAATAGAATGCAAATAAGTTTTGGCTAGGAAGCAAATTTTTCCGTGGAGATATCGTTAAAATTTTATTTTTAGTTAAAAAAAACCAGCTTTTACTAATAGTTTTAATTTATATACTCATCTTAGACTTCAGTACATTCTTCAGCCTGACAGTATCTGTGTTTGAATCCTGGGCCTTCAACTTCATATAATCAAGCTTGTTTTGGTACTTTGCTAGTTTTTTATGTAGTACCTATGAAGAAAGTTTCTTTTCATGAGGTTAGAGCATACTGCTTATACCTTTACAAAAAACCAGAAAAATAGTGTGTACCTAAGGTCCATGGCTTTATTAACTGGTTTTTAAAAGACTATATAAAATCTAAATTATTTGTACTTCTATACACCAAATTTTTCACTTGTCAAAAGTAATTTGTTTCTTTGACTTATAAATAATGCGAAATCTTCCTAAGAAGAAAAATGTCTATAAAGAAATGAAGCATTTAAGAAGAAAAATACAGATGGTTTACTTAGCAGCCAAATTGTCATAAAACAATTTAAGAAGTAGAGCTCAGTTAGCTCCCTTTTTTTAAACATTCTAGTCTTTTAAAAGCCCACATTTTAAAAAGAAGACAGATAAAAATTTTAATTAAGTGGTCTAATTATTTATTCATTGCTTATATCTTAATTAATTAAGTGCTTATCTCCTAATCAGGAAAAATAAAGCCAGAAGTATTAGAAGGACACACAGAGAATTTCTGGCAACTATTGCTTGAGAAAGAGAACAGAACGAGGAAAAAAAAATGCAGAAAGGCTGTCTTGAACTGCACTGTTCAGAAACTTTTTCTTTCATATAAAATTACTAGGAAAACATTCATCTGCAAGAACTGGGGGCAAGTGTGTGCGTGGGGGTGATGTGGTGTGTAGAAGGGTATGAAGAAACTCCTGTTCCTGTTGCAGAAGGGCTGTGAGTTGCTGAGAAGGGTGCTCTGAAAATCTGTCAACTTTTCCAGTTAAGCTCAAATGTAGAAACGAGAACGCTACTTTAAATACATGGAGTAACACCTCAATTAATGGAATAATCTAGAGGAGCCAATACACATTATAGAGGCAGGCCTTTCAAAAGCACTTGATCGTGTAAGACTGAGATTTTTGTTTCTAACTTTTTCTACAAGCATCCAGGCATTGCAAAGAAAACCATGAAGTTTTCAAAAGCAGCTAGGAGCAACAGGAGGCATCATCAGTATCAGCTGTGCTTCTGAGAGAAGGTGAAGCATAGTGATTCCCTGGAGAATCTTTGGTGGTTAAAGCTGCTTCAAACCTTGCCTTTTCTTGGATACTCAGGGAGGGCACCAAAGTGAAACAGGTACGATGTTTGAGAGAAGTTATTTAGAAGGCAAGTTGTCTCACCTAATTTTTGCAGCAAAGAATTAGGCACCAATCTAAAGTCATTAGCTACACTGCCTCTTCAGTGAAGGGAGAGAGGCAGGTAATATTAATTACTTTAAAAACTGGAATGGGATGAATCTCCTGGAGGAATTTTCTTCACTTAAAAGGGAGCCTTAATGACTTAAAGCTTTTATATACTCAGGATCAGGTGCAGTTAATTTGCTCCTTTCAAACTAAATAGCACTTCTAGAGGAAGAGAAAACCAGGTGAGCAGTAGACTAAGTGCAGAGAAGAAAGATCAAGTATCAGAAAACCTAAATGAAGGCAAGAAGCTGAAGAAAAAGAAGAAAACAAGAACATTACATAGGGATGAACTACTACAGGTATTAAGCTTAATTTCTAGCTGCTTGGAAAATGTTGGTGCAGGAGTATTATGTGTACATGAGATGGCACTTTAAATATTTTAATTACTTCCACTAGGAACTGCACAGAGATAATTAACACAGTAGACAATGTAAGGTTGTATTACAACAAACTATTTCCATTATCTTTTATCCAAAAGCCACTTTTAAGGAAACATACATCAATAAAATGCTATTAATAACATTTAGAACCTTGTTAAAATGTGTAATGTTTTACATTATTAGCAGGTGAAAGTAACAAGCTTTTAAGTACTCTAGACCGGTCACAGCACAGTATAAGGAACACTCACTGCTTCCTTTATAGTACTTTTCCATACAAGTGATAGTTACAGCTGGCACATTGTTTTTACTTTAGGATCAGAAAAAAACATTAATTAGCTGTTCCTCAAGATAAATATCTAAACCATTACATAAGAATAGCTGGTTCTCTTCATACAAGTGAGCTGAGCAATAAAGGAAAAATCAGAGTTTGAAACACAATCTTAAAGCTAGTTTGCAGATTTACTTCAAATGAGGACCCACCAATTTCCTGTGCTACTTGAAAAAGGCACCATTTTTTCTTTTTAGTCAAGGGTTCTTGGTACAAACATACCTGAATTTCTTGCTTAATATTAGAGAGATGCTCCTGTAACCTGTCATTCTCCTGAGCTAATGATACTCTGTTCTTGTTGGTCTGTGTGAGTTCTTTGTTGGTTTCTTATAGCTGTTGATGCAAACTGGTGATATCCTCCTCACAGATGGAGAGCACTTCAGCAGATGTCCTATGCAGCAAATAAAAAATTCTTCAGGTATGACACTACTGCCCAGTCGAATACAAATGACAGCTTTTCCAGTGGTTAAGTTTTCAAGTCAGGAAAGAAAGCTGTAACATTTTGATATTAATTTGAGTAAAAGAAATTTCTACATTAGTACATCCTATGATTCATTTTTTTATTTAATGCTATAAATTAATCACAATTTGATAATAATGTTGACATTTCTTACTTTGTGGAATGCTCCAACTCAGAAATCAGAATCTTGAAATCTGAAATTATTTTCTCCTGGAAAAGAAATACAGAATTAAAATAAACCTCTCACCACTCTTCAGTATAAATGGAAGAAAAAAATTGAGCAAGATTATTTATATCTCTTTTTATTCAACTAGCTGATTATTTTAACTATTTAATGCAAAATCCAGCGTGCCTGTAGCAAATGTGGATAGAGCCTTCCCAAATCTTCGTTCGCGAAGCCTAGCCATGATGATGATGAATGCAAAATGGATTGTGATTTTCCAAGCTTCATCATGTACTATTTAGATTTGAAAATTCTTTTCTTTTTTTTAATTTGGGAAACAAAAGAACAAATGATATCTGAGTGAAAGCCCTGGCTGGTCTGGATGGTTGTGAAGGCCTGTTAGAAATCCTGATTCCAACTCTGCCCCCCGAAAGAAAAGCTGTCCATATAACCCTTACATTCTCACAGTATTAAGAATGTAAGGGTTATATGGACCCAGGGCTGACACATTCTTGAGGGAACTGGTGGATGAAGTGGCTAAGCCACTATCTGTCATATTTGAGAAGTTGTGGCAATCTGGTGAAGTTCCCACTGAATGGAAAAAAGAAAGCATAAATTCCCCATTTTTAAAAAGGGAAATAAGCAAGACCCAGGGAACTGCAGGCCAGACAGTCTCACTTCGGTACCTTGGCAAGATCATGGAGCAGATCCTCCTGGAAACTATGCTAAAGCACATGGAAAATAAGGAAGTGACTGGTGACAGCCAACACGTCCTTCCCTAAGGACAAATCGTGCCTGACAAATTTGGTGGCCTTCTACATAGGGGTTACAGCAGTGGTGGATGAGGGAAGTGCAACTGATGTCATCTAGCCAGACATGCAAAGCATTTGACACTGTCCCGCACAAGATCTCTGTCTCTAATCTGGAGAGAGGTGGATTTGACAGATGGACCATTTGGTGGATAAGGAATGGGTTGGATGGTTGGACTCAAAGTGTTGTCACTCAGCATCCAAGTGGAGACCAGTGGTGTTCCTCAGTGATCAGTGTTGGGACTGGTGCTGTTGAACATCTTCATTGGTGATATGGACACAGACCGAGTGAAGAAAGGATCAAGAGCAGCCCTGGGGAGAAGAACTTGGGGGATTTGGGGGCGTTTGAGGGTGGGAAGCTAAACCTGACCTGGCAATGTGTGCTGTCAGACCAGAAAGCCAACCACGTCCTGGGCTGCATCAAAAGCAGCGTGACCAGCAGTTTGAAGGAGGTGATGCTCCCCCTCCACTCTACCCTCATGAGACCCCACCTGAAGCACTGCATCCAGCTCTGAGACCCCCAACTCAAGAAAGACACTGACCTGTTGGAACAAGCCCCAAGGAGGGCCACGAAGATGATCACAGGGATGGAGCACCTCTCCTATGAAGTCAGGCTGAGAGAGTTTGGGACTGTTCAGCCTGGAGAAGAGAAGAATCTGGGGAGACCTTACAGCACCTTCCAGTACCTAAAGGTGGCCAACAAGAGAAATGGGGAGGGACTTTTCACAAGTGCATGTAGTGATAGGACAAGGGGGAATGACCTAAAACTGAAGGAGAGCAGGTTTAGATTAGATATTAGGAAGAAATTCTTGACTGTGAGGGTGGTGAAACACTGGAACAGGTTGCCCAGAGAGGCTGTGGACTCCCCATCCCTGGAAGTGTTCAAGACCAGGCTGGATGGAGCTCTGAGCAACCTGACCTAGTGGAAGGTGTCCCTGCCCACGGCCAGGGGTTGGAACTAAATGGTCCTTAAGGTTCCTTCTGACCCATCCATAACTCTGTGTTTTCCTTGAGCCGGGGTTCTATGGGACAGAAGCCAAGCAGCTGTGATGAACATACCAACTTCTGGTACAGTACCAGCATAACATCTTACCTAAACAGCTGTGTGCAGCAGGCATGCAGTCTCTGCACTTTTATGCTCTTAAATCTTGCTTTCAAAGATTATCATAATCCTCGTTTTCCCCACAGGTGTATCTGACTGAAATTCTAGAGGCAAAACAAAATCAGAGGTTAGAAAAAATCCTAAAAATTATTTAAAAAAAAGATGCATTGTAAAATCTTGTACAAAGTTATCAGTAAAAGCATTTTCCCCATTAATTCTTATATAAATATTTATAAACACTCCCTTCAAAGAAATTTTAATTATTTCTCTACTTGGTTTCATCTTGGGAGGTTTTTGAATAACTCTTATCTATGAAAATTCAACTTTCAGTATCAAGTTTATGACTTAGAGCACAGTTCCTCAATAAACATTACTAAAGTCAAGAAAAGGTGTTCATATTTCTTTTTGGTTTTAAGTACAAACGAATACTGAGTGACCAGTTGCTGCTATACCTTTTTGAATGGCTTTTTCGTTGGGGGAGGGAGTTAAGCTAAGCTTCTCCTTAAGTGACACAACATTTTCTCCACACCTTGACAGATAAAAAGATGACTTCCTCAAATAATACTTCAATTCTTAATGGCTATTTGGAGATGGAAACAGGGAGGTGGGTGGGCATAATAAATTGGCATTCTTGGGCAATACCACCTCCCATTGTTGGTTTGAGTGGAATTCTTCAGTTTTAGAGCACCTTTAACACAAACCTCCCATCTGCACACAAGTGGCGTAGGCCTCATCCGTGATTAATGTGAAAGCCTCAGAGGAAGGCAGGGAAAGGCAGCACAAGCAATGCTTACAGGTCAGAAGACTTCAGAGACAAAGCCAAGCAGCCAGGTCTCGTTAATCCAGCCCCAGGAGAGAGATGGGTATTCTGAAACTGCCACAGCTGATCAACTGGGACTGACTGTGAGCTCAGGCAGCTCAGCTGAACACCTCTGCTCTAATTAGGTTCATCTCTTTCAGAAACTAATATCCAAGGAGACACGTTTACAGATGAAAACTCCAGCAATTGCAATACAATCTCTCTGGCTTGACAAGAACAAAACAAGTGCTAGATAAGACTGATTTAATATTGTGAAAATAGCCTTCTTTTAGTTAAATCTTATCTTGTATCCAAAACCCATCTAATCTGCATATGTATTTGTAAGATTATGTGCCAGTTGTATCTTCCAGAATAAATATCACCCTTAACATCACACTTGTTTCTTGACAGTGTCAAGCATTAGCTTCACACGTATGATAAAACACCAGTCTGAACTCATTCCCCATTTTTAATGCCAGGATTGACATATTAACTGGTTTGCAGACATTGTAAAGTTAAAATGTCAGGGTATTACAAGGCTAATTGTGCTTTTCTTTATTCCATCAACAAAATCATATGAGAGAGACTACTTCTTACATCTTCTTATGTCCAAGATAGCAGTTCTTATTTACAGTACCTCTAGCTGCATATCTCTTCTTGGAATAGCACAGACAGGGACAGGAAGATTGGTGCCTTTGAAGAAAGTGATGTGAAAAGGGTAAGGGGACCATGTGAGTCCTCTGACTCCTATTGCCTGCTTCTGTCGGGCATGGATATAAAGAGTCTTGGAAAGAGGCTGCCTTAGGTCGTCCCAAAGTCAAGCTGAGAAATCCGATGAAACGCACTCTCTTCCCTGTTAGCCACTAGAACAGGTTTTATATTCTGCAGACAGTGTCAGGTGAATGATGGGGGGTTTTGGCAAGCAACCACTATAAAGCACTCATGAACAGAGCTCACCTTTTCAGATATTAGGTGTGAGTAACACCTCAGAAATACAATCCTCACCCAAAGAGAAGAAATTGGAAGATTTTAACTTCCAGAAAAAGAGCAAGAGAAACAAGTGTCTTTCTTTTCCTCACCCCATTCTGGATTTATTGTAAGTCTTTCTTTTGGATTTTGGTATGGTGGAGACCATCAGAGACTCTGCATTATCATGTTTATCTCCAAAAGAGATGCGAAAAGAGCATTTCAGGTTTTCATAACTTTAATTATGAAGAATAATAAGAATTTTATTATGAAGAATAAAAAATTATTCTTTATGAAAGTTCATTTTAGGTGTGAAATTAGACATTTTTAATTAGTTTTGCTCTGGTATGTCTAAGGTATCCTCTAAGAGACATATGGTGAGTTCTCTCTTCCATGTTTATGCGGGTTAATGTTGTGCACAGCAGTTACTGTGCTTTTTGTATACCAAACAACACATTCTTGATCAAAGAAGAAATGAAATTCATACACAGGATTGTTTTCAAAAGCAAAAATAACAATTGCTGTATTTTGTAGATGTGATTTATACACTAGTAGTTGAGACATAAAAAATGTATTTAAAAGTCCAATCCAGAAGAAATAAATAAATAAATCATGGTGTGCATTTAGAAATTCGTATTTTTTGCTTATTGTCAGAATATTTACAATTATCTTGCTGGGTTTGTCTTCAACAATAGCCACTTTTTGGGAAAGGCATTTATTGTTCATGTGTATTTACCCTTCAGCATATCAGAAACAGACCCTTGATGTTTTTACCTGTCCACCTAGTATTCTGCACACTTTACTTTTTTTTAGCACATTGTGCTTCTAACTATGGAAACATTTTTTAACTAGAAAAACACGTAGTGTAACAGCTCAAAGTAGGTTTTTAGTGTCACCTTGTGGCAAAATGACACATTGCAAATTTCCAAGAATCAATTGCCAAAATGGAAACAAATGGTCCCACATTTTGTTTGGTTTTTTGTAACATCAGAAGTCTTACAAGATGCATTTCCCTACTTCTGACCAGTGTCACAGTGTACGGGTTCACTTCTGCATTTTGCCAACTACTTCCAAAGTTGATTTTCCAATATTCAGAAGTACACATGCCTTTTGCCCTGTGCATTACTGAATAGCTCACCCCAGTGAAAAGTTATCACCAGTCTAATTTAGCAAGAAGTTATGTCTATTGCAAATCACTTAGAATAATTCACAACTTTTTTTTTTTTTTTAATATGACAATACAATGTTCCAAGTGCTGGGACAAACATTAAATCAAGATTCTTTTAGAGTCTGTTTCTCCCACTAATCACCTCCAGCACACATGTGGTGATGGTTTCTTACTTTTTATTTGCCCTACTACACCCACACAGCCCTTTTAAGTGTTTGGTAAGGACTGTCATGCTCTTAATTAATCAGTCCTTCAGTAGGAAATAACCCCAAACTTATGTCTTTAATCTTGGAAGTTATTCATCCTTATCCACCTTCTTTTCTCCTTCACCTTTCAGGGAATATAGTTGTTCTGATACTGTTCGTTCAACTAGAAGGTTAAGGCAATTCAGGCCACATCATAAACAGTTTTCTTTACTAGAAAAGCAAATACAGGAGCACCCAGTTACACATCCAAAGCCAAACTGCTTCCTCAAGTAATCTCACTGTTTCACCTGAATATCAATTTGGCATTTGAAAGTCATCTATTCCCAAAACTAGAAAAAAGAAAAATTACTTAGCCCTAACTACCTGTTCAAGAGGGATAGCCTATGTGAATTCTCACAACCCACTGTATCAACTTTTCTCTCTCCAGTTCCTTCATGTCTTGGTACTCCTATATTAAGGCAGAGAGGAAGACAAAAGCATGCAATGTATCCTTTATAAATACACAT